AAGGACGAATGAATATATTGGAGAAGTTGAGGTTCGATTCCCGGGCCGGGTGAAATATTTGTTTGGCCTACATTTATTTCTCTCGTGAGTTTGGGTGTGATTTGTAGTGGTCTACATGTGTGTCCATGGCACCCGCAATACAAGGTTTTGCTGTGCGGGGCAATGTGTGTGTGCGTTATTTATAATTATAAAAAAAATTGAGAAATATATTTTTTTAATTTGTTTTTGGTCCAGGTGCTTTATGAAAAAAGAAAAACGCTATTTTTGTGTTATTTTTTTTTCAGGAAAGTGTACCTTGCGAACGTGTTAATAAACTCGACAATTTTTACAAGGAGAAGTGTAATTTGCTTACTGACGAATAAAAAATTATTTTCAAATTGTAGTTCGATTATCCGAAGTCCGAAAGTAAATTTTATCAATAGGGAACCAAGATCTTATTTTGTCCAGAAGGCTACGAGTCACGTGCGAACAGTAAACAAAATTAATTAGCACGTCGTCGGGCTAATGACCTTTCAAGACCGAGGCCTGCCTTATAAAGGTTAAATTGCTTCTGAAATACGTATAACCCTTGATATGACGTACGCTTTCTACAACATTAATTTTGCGTGTGGTCGAATTTCATATACGCAGTACTTCGTTTCAATCCATTGTAGACAAAAAGTAAACAAAAAAGTGACTGATCGTAGGTGGTTTAGTGATGGCCAATTTTAATGCCAACTACAAATCGATTAATTAATTGAATGTATCGATTTCTTGCCGTTTTCATTACATAATTTATAAAAACGTGTTTAAAATTTCTGAAATCTTACTTTTAAATCCTCCTTCAAATCCTTAGATACAAGTTCAATAGCAATTGAAATTTTCGATTTACTAATTATTGATGAAGTTGATTACAAACACTTTAATTGAATGAACTGAATATTTTTTCCGAACAACGTTATGCAACCATGGACTATTCATACATATTTACTTAAAAAAATAACCTCACTTTATGACTACCATTTTTCAAATACGATTTTACGATGTTATTCAAAATGAACATTATTCGAAAAAGTGATGAAATATAACACACCCACACACACACACACACTCAACATAGCCCCGCACTAGGGAAACCCTGTGTCGCGGGTGCCATGGACACACATATAGACAACCACAAATTACACCCAAACTCACGAGAGAAACAAATGTAGGTCATACAAATATTTCTCCCGGCCCGGGAATCGAACCTGGGACCTCTGCGTGGCAGTCCAGCATGGTAACCGTTCGGCCACAGAGGCAGTTATCAAATCAAAATGTTCGAAACATACGTCAAAGTGTCACTTGTTCGATTTATTGAGTGATTGCTTTAAAAATTCAACCAAACCATTTCGTTTACGTTTCGTTTAAAGTGAATTGGAACAGACTATAGAGTAGCATAGTGTTCATAGATTGGCGAACGATAAAACACGTAAAATTTCATTGTGAACGGACAATTGAAGTTCGTATACGTAATTGCGGTGGCACTGGCGGCTGGATAATAACCATAATCAAAATGTCACATTAAAAATGTAATAATGATAAAGTGACAACGCTAACATGATTATCACAACATAACAACGATAATGAGACAATGTTAATTTTAAAAGCGGTAGAGCTCCTCCAGAGAAAGTGTCCGTCCAGAGAAGTATTGCCACTTTACCTATTTGTGCCGCCAAGAAATAATATGAGCATTACAGCGTTCCGTTATGAAGGGTTAGTATGCTGGTGAAATTACATGCACATAGGACTTGACAACTTATGGCTCAGGGTGACAGGCACAGTGGGAGTGCCCCTCAGATCTTTGCGATTTAAAGCTTCGAGTGGTACTGCAACTGCTATGGACAGGCGGGTCGTTTACCACCAGAAGCACGATTTGTCCCGTACCGTGGTATTAAAAAAAAAATCATGTGATAATGATAATATAAACGTACCAGGCAATCACGCCAATCTAGGGATTTCCATCATTACCACGTGGAAGTACCCAGAACACCCAGGCCAGAACCGACATAGAAAAATTTATGATTAGTCCCATTGGGAATCGAACTTTAAAGCAAGTGCCCCGTAGAACTAACAAAGGGGCTATTGACGCCGTCTAGATACAATACTATTTTGAAACCGAATCTGTCCATATGTCCCAAATAGCCTGCAGCACATACCCGCACATTTACTGACGCGTGAACTCCAATTACAGTTTTGTTTTGTACAACCATCCATCCTTACAACCCACCAACTTCCAACTGCCAACCTTGTTCCCTTGTAATAGGAGATATAACAACGATACATTATAAATTTGTGGGAGAAGTCAGGTTAACTGCAGAGAAATGTTTATGATTATTGGACTTGTTGGGATGAAGTTCGTTGACCCCTAGGGTGCTACGGATATAGCTACGTATGGGCTGCGGGTTGTGCTACGACGCGTAGAATAATATTTCTCATACGTAATATCTTGCTGCTTGAAGGTGAATGTTCAGAAAATTCTTTATTTTAGTTTAATTTTTTGTTAACCTGTTTCTTAATTATAATTATTAACACAGAGATTGATCACCAAGAAAAACTCCTTTAAACTGACATTCGGTTAGGGTCTTTGTATTAACAATCATAAAAAGCTAAAGGAGTAATTTTACAAAATAAATTCATATCATAGTAGTTTTTTTATGATGCCAAGTGACCGGACGAACAAGTCGTGAATCTGGTGTCAAGCGGCACGTCTGTTCATAGCAGTTGTAGTGCCACTCAGAGCTTTAAAGCACAAAGATCTGAGGGGCACTCCCGCTGTGCCCGTCACCCTGAGACATAAGGTGACAAGTTTCATTTACTCGTAATTTAACCACTGATATAAAATGAAAATAGTTTAAAGCTCTATAGATAGTTGACGTGGAAATCAAAACAACAATAAAGTTCATAGTTCTAAATGCAAACATTGTAGGTGATACATAACATTGAACATCGTGGAAACTCGGAAACCACAAACACATCCGAACGCTATTGATTATTGACCGATGTATTCTATAACTATTGAATACGAAATTTCATTATTCACGTCTAACGTCAAGTCACTGACCACGCTAATAAAGTATCGTATTTAATAGTCGTAAATACATCAGTCATTAATACGATAGTTTATAGACGTATTCGTAGTTTCAGAGTTTTACTCACAAAATACAGTAAAAGTTCTTAGTGTGCATGACACGTGTGCCAACAATACGCAGAGTTCCACATACTTGAGCAAAGTCCGCCATTTTCACTTTGTGCTCTATGGTCGTCAATTACCTCATGCAAAACCACAAAAATCATGGATAAGTGCTTTATTTTGCTATTTAGAAGTGCAAAAATGATAGTGGCATCTGTAGTTATTATCCACGGTATTGTTTAATTTGGTAAATTTTCCATTTTCTGTTCATCGTAATAGAGATAAGAAATGAAAGTAAACATTATGCCACTGCAATATGGTCGATTTTCTTTTTTTGAGGAAGTTAATAAGGCTGTAATTATACGTTTTTCAGCTATTGCTGCTAGATGGCAGCACATTGAATGACATTTTAATTATAAAATCAAAACGTAACTTGCAATAATAGGTACTGAACTTTCAACGATATGCCAACTGGGTAAAGTTAAAATTATATTAGGTGAAATTTATCATCGGTTTATCACCCATTGTATGCCATGCTACGGCCATAAATTATTTCTATTTTTAAAATGTGCAATGACGTCAAGATCTGGAAATAGTTTATTTATTCAAGAACTTACTTCGAAAAGGCAAAGGCTAAAAATAAAGGTAAAAATACGATACTCTTAAGGTTTCTCGAGAAGTTGTTAGAAATGAAACATTGTTATGCTGTAAGATGCCGTAGAACAGATTTCAAAAGGTATGCTCGTTTCGTAAAAGTTTTATTGCATACCTGCTTTATGGTTAGTTCTATATTTCTAACATTGTAAAGAAATTTCAAATAATCGCATGTTTCTTATGTAAGTACACTAAGACGCATGTTAACGAGATTCTAACGAAATTTAGTCGTAGCCAGAATGATAACGCATCCGTGGCCGAACGGTTACCATGCTGGTCCCGGGTTCGATTCTCTCGTGAGTTTGGGTGTAATTTGTGGTTGTCTGTGTGTGTGTGCCCATGGTAGATGCGACACAGGGTTTCCCTAGTGAGAGGCTATGAGTGTGCAATATATATGTCGGGAACTTTTTGTCAGTTTCATCACTTTCTCTCGTAGCATACTCGTAGAAAGAATGATCAACTTTATTTTCTGTAATAAAGTAGTTGATCTCTTATTGCAAATCTGTCAAATCAGTACATTGGATATTAAGTGAAATAATTTAATGTAAACTTATCCATAGATAGGTATTGAAAATCTCTTCTTTGCCGTGAGATGTCGCTCAACGTCAAGAAACTGAGTTGTAGATATGTCTAGATTACGTACTAATTAGTCACTTGAGTTCCATTTAAATTACTTTATTTTCAAACTTCGAAAGGCCTTTACAATAATATGAAATATTTTAATCAAATTTGTAGTTATGACATTTAAAGTAACGAAAAAAATCTCTCAACAATTATTTCGCTATTGTTCTTTATTGTTGCGGCTTTACGGCGACGTGAACGTGAAAAATACGTTGCAGTAATATAAATTTCTCGTCACACAAATGGGAACCCAAAGGTGCAACCGCCGCGCGGCTGCAGCGCTTCTAACAGCGGCTAACTTGAACGCGCCCTTAATCATAGGTAGTTCGTTGCTGTAAATAAGAGTACCAGGAATTTATAATCGCGCAACCGAGACTGTTTTCACTTCTCCAGCGCTACTTCCCGGTATTTCCGGGAACGTAAATCCCGGGAGCACGCACTAGGTGCCACTGAATAGGGGCATCTCATCTGAGCGAACTCGTTCCATCGTAGACCCTACCTTTGCTCCAAGGTAGTAGTAAAGTGTAAGTGCATTTACTATAAAAAAAAAATTCTAAGACATACTAGAACTTACCAATTTCAAGAGTACGTTGACACAGACTCTGAAACAAAGAAGAATACAAAATTGAGTGCGATCTATAGTAACAATGCACAGATTTGATTGGAGCGATCGGAAATAGAATCCCCAACGTCGTGTAATCAAATAACCGACACTGCACTTTGCAGACTAAAAGGTAAAAATAAAAAAAATGTAATATTGGATTCAATAGACACGCTAGCGCTCAGAGGATAGCACTATTGAAAACGCGCGGTTACGTTTGGGATTTCGTACTTTTTTATGCTTCAAATAATATCAGATGTGCGTTTATCGTTATCATTGCACCCGAAATATGTCCTTATGGAAATAGGCCACTCCCAACAAAACTGTCTTGCACTGCTGGCACAATGGGGCCACTACGGGGGTGGCTTGTCCAAGCAAGGGTAACTTTTTAATATGGATCACGTTCATTAAATTTTTAATAACTATAACTTTCAGATCGTCGGATTTTTTTGTTATCGACCATTGTATAAATATTATTAAAAAAATCTTTTGTTTTGAAAAACTATCATGAAGTCGGGACCTTTTTTATAAAGTTCGGGACTAATTTTGGAGCCTCTTGGACGCTATTAACAGAAAACTAACAAATCGTGACCTCGCAAACGATATTTCGTTACTGATAGTTCAAGTGCTATCACAAGTTCTAGATGGTTTAACGGGTTGACGTTAATAAGAAGTTTTTACACATATTTATTTTTGTAATAATCTCAATTGATATAAAATAGCGAAGTACCGACAAAGCACGCATTAGTCTAAAAAATATTTACTCGAGCTATGAATAGCCCAACTAGTTTTCCGGAAACACAGATGACGGCAGTGTTTTCCTTTCCTTTGCTATACACATTAAGGAAGCGCTTCTTGCGAATAGGTCTAGGGAATTTGAATTGTTCCGGATTTTCTACTCGACCGAAGGAGGAACAGCGAGGGTGAAAGTAAATGTTCCTGCGCACTCTGCGACATGTAGCCGACAGAAAGCAAATTGTGTCACGAAACCTATAACTAGAGATAATCCTCTTCTTAGGATGCCTCTCCAGTGAGTAAGGTCTGGAGGTCAGCTCCGTAAACTTTTATAGATAATCGTTTAGTGAGAAATCACGTAAGTCCCATAATCTAAAATGCAGACACTCCGCTTTCGGATTTTTAATAGTAAGTAAAAAATCATACCTGTTTATGTTCCACAGGTGTATAAGACACAGCTAGCACATTTAGTTAGTAGCAGTTGCGCTGTGAAAGAGTTCGTCCAGGGAAGAACTGCCACCACACCTTTTTATTTTTTTTTATAATATTAATTGACGGGACGAACAAGTCGTGCGTCTGATGGTAAGCTACACGCCTGTCTGAATCTGAGGGGCACTGCTACTGCGCCCGTCACCTTGAGACATAAGTTGACAAGTCCCATGTGCCTGTAATTTAAAACCAGCACCCGTCAAAACCGGAACATACTAATGCTGACATTACTGCTTGGCGGCAGAAATAGGCAAGGTGGCAGTACTTCCCTGAACGCTCTTTCACTACGAGCTCTACTGCTACAAAATACCTATTTTAAGCAATTAATGTGAGCATTACTGCGTTCTGGTTTTAAAGGGGCTTGTCAATTTTATATATCAGCGTGGCAGGAGCAGTGGCAGTGTCGATTGATCCTTGCGATTGAAAGCTTTAAGTAGCATTGCCACTGTTATGGGTAGGAGCGTTGCATATCACTAGGTGCACAATGTGTTCGTTCTGCTACTTAATGCCATAAAAAAATTAAAAAACATGGTCGAGAAACTATTTCGTGGCATAATTTTAAGCACCTTCACTCCTAAAAACACTTAACACAAAACAACTAAAAGCAGCATTGACAGGAGAAAAGGTTTTAGCCCGTGAGTAACAAAGTACACACGCCAGTACAGCCGGGCATACCTATGATCCGAAATTGGCAAACTTGAGGATTTCTTCCTTCCCACCGAAAAAAACGCAATGGTAAGGCTCTGTGTTCTGACGTCGGCACAAGCGCTCACACAAGTGAAATACTTGTTTTTATGGACATTTGGTTCCGCATGACTGCACACGGCGGGCAAGGTTATTTTTACCTCTCTGAGCGCGTGCTTGGGTTCCTTTTTTCTCCTAGTGAGCACCTGGTGTTATTAGTCAGTTTTCGATTTTGTATGAGAGTGATCTGTGGCACTGGAATGAGAGCCCTACGTAATCCCTTAAGTTAAAAGAACTCTTTCGGGGTCAGTCATGGGCAGACATGTCACACATGGAAAGACAGATAGATACATAGACAAACGCTTTTTATAACTCCCCTCTTTTTCTGTCGGGGGCTAAAAAGACACGTGTTATAACAAAACACACGTCTATTTTACAAGAGTGCAATTCCGCGTCTATTTGCTGCATGCCTTTTGTGCCGTCAGCTGAAGTACATGCACTGTCACTTCGGTCTGCGGCGCATTCGTGGTTGTTTGTTTAAATATGCACTACTTTATATGCAGATTTATTTATTAAATATTCTCACTGGATATGCACATTTTTGTGAGTTTTTTGTTTGGACTTAGTGTTGTGGACTAGCTTTAGCGAAAGTAAAATAAGAGCCGGTCCACATGAATTTATTAGATGTAGAAAATGAAAGAACAAATAAAACTACAATGATATTAAAAAGTACAACAGTATAAAACACTCCCTAGACCGTCTAATGAACAGTCCACTAACCCCAAGAGGGCCTATATAAGTATTCTAATCATTGACTTACAAATAAATGGACGACGGGTCTAATACAAAAACCACGAAAAAAATGTCCCAAGTCAACCTATTCGAAATTTAAATTGTAATGTCATCGCAGTATCGCGCCGTCAGTAGAACAAATGAAGACTAAAGCGGAGTTTGGCGCTCTGTATACGATTTTAGCGCCTTACAAGTGCGGACACTTTTTAGCGCGGACCCGACGTCCATATAATTGTAAGTCAATGATTCTAATGATGAAAAAGAAGTAAATCAGGTGAAGTAAGGGTTTCAATAAGACTACTTCATGATCACGTGCTTGCGCTTTAACAATGTTGAAGGGAGTGATGGCGGAACGAACCAAAGTAAGAATAACGAAGAAAAGGAATTAAACAACGATTCAAAATTTCAAAAGTAAGTGGCCAGAACCAAACGGTCATAAAAGATGGGATGACGACGAAGGGCGCATCGTCACATTGTCTAAAGCAAGCTGCCTCAGTGGTCGAACGTTACCATGCTGGATTGCCATGCAGAGGTCTCGGGTTCGATTTCCGGACCGAAAGAGATATTTGTAAGGCGTACATTTGGTTCTCTCGTGAGTTTTGGTGTAATTTATGGTTGTCTATGTATGTGTCCATGGCACCCGGGATACACGGTTTCCCTAGTGCTCATGGCCCCATAAGTGTGTGCGTTATTATTATTATTATTGTTATTATCACCGTTGCAACGTTTTTTGGGCAAAGGATTAGGCAATGGATTTTGCTTTCTAAGGCGACGGTTTTAGACCACTGTTCGGAACGCTAGCCCAAAGCGGTTTGAGTACTATACACGCATTCCAAGGGTTGTAAACTTTCACCGATGTGCAGGTTCCGCTACGATACGATTACATTGGCAAATGTACATGCTGCCACAGTGTCGAACCGCCGACATCTCGATTCAGAAGTAACCGTTCCCCCACTGGGTTAGCATCGCTAATAGTATAAATGTTAATTAAAAGCTTTGTTAGACGAAAGACTTAAATACATTAACGGTTTTTAATCGAGTTCTTAGGGTTTCTTTTTTTCGGATTTACTTCGCCTATATTTGTTTTAATAAACAAAGCAACGTTTCGGGCCCTTTATAGGCCTCACAGCTTACTCACGATTTTATTTTGGTAAATTTCGTAATTTCGCATTTTGTACAAATTACTGTGTTCTTTGATTTTAACTTGTACTTTGTAACTACTTGTGTTTGTTTGTAAAGTATTTGTTAATTAATGTCTGTTCGTATTAAATAAACGTTTTATCTATCTACCTATTTTAATGTGATCACTATAGATCGATCCGTTGCTATGTGGGTTTCTTTGTAGTTATAAGTCTTCAAATCTATTTCAGTGTGTCTTTTGTCTCCTTCAAGTGTTTTGAAGTTACCTGGTAGCAATTATAAACTTTTTTGAAATGAATACTATCAACAAAGTTAAAGCCTGCCAACGCCAGTCCCAAAACAGTCTTTGATTGCAAGCGTACATTGTAGCTCACTTCGTCCCTTATTTTGAAGACCCTTTTTCTTCTTAGAACCTTTTCTTTGTTATAACAATGTCACCTAACCCTAAAACATTTATAATACACCCTTTCAAACAAAAAAAAATTCAAAATTGGTCCATAATTAACGGAAAAATCGGTGAGTACAGTGACATGCCTATAAAATTGGAGGATTTTCCTTAATTTCCATGGGGTTCCCTCATCGGATTGTGACTTGGTTTAGAGGAGGAATATTTTCTTCAAATTGGACCACCACGAGAGTGCAGGCTTTCAAACAAAAAAAGAGTTTTCGAAATCGGTCCACAATTGACGGAGAAATCGGAAAACAAACATAAAACATATATACAGCCGAACGTATAACCTCCTTATGTTTTTGAAGTCGGTTATAAAACATTCAATTTGAAGACTAAGTTGCTGATTACACGAGATAAAAAGTAACATATGAATATTTCCATGATAGTCTTAGGGTCGTATTCCCGAACTCTACCCAATGCTCAAGTCAGGATTTGAGCAGACTTGAGTATGATTTCAAGCACTAGAAATACGACCCTAATGGCAAGGACTTGAGTATGATTTTCAGTGCTACCGCAATACTCAAGTCCTGACTTGAGCATTGAGTAGAGTTCTGGAATACGACCCTTAGTAAGGCAACATCAACCGTCAGTGATTGAATAAATGCCATCACTGCCATTCCACTGACACTGCCATTGAAACTAGACATTAGCCGAATAACAAATATTGCCGCAATTGCAATATAATCTCCGTTGAATCTCAAAAGAATTAC